GATCGGCTTCAGTAAATGTATACAAAACAGAACCAAAGACAGCAGGGTAAACCATTGCCGACGTGTAGAAGCCCAGCCAGGCAAAATACATGGCGATCTTCACCCCAAAGTAGTCACAAATGTCATCTGCCAGGGGACAAGAGAGGCTGGGTCACCTCCAAGAGTCTCCTGGGACCCCAGCCCACTCCTCAGCCATGAATCCACACCTAAAGGCTGGTTTTCACACACGGCCTGCACCCAGGACTTCATGAGACGATTCAGAATGCGCTGCTCGTGGACCGGAAACACCTGCTGTATGATGCCTCGGGCAGCCAGCTCCGGGACTGCAGGAGGAAGAGAGAGAATGATCCCTGCCCCTGCACCGTATGGACAGCCCAGGCAGGCAGCCCACCTTGGCTGGAACCAAGTCATAGTTTGGCCTGTTCTGGAGCCTATAGAAGGCTGGGAACGTGGCTTGGTTGGTAGAGTGCTTGCTTAGCATACACAAAGGCCTGGGTTCCATCCCCAGCACGGCATAAGCTGGGTAAGTGAGGCCGGGAGGGGCCGGGATGACCGGGAACCAGGAGGGTTTCAAGTCCCACTACAAAGCCCAGGTTGATCTTAAATTAACAAGCTCTCTGCCTCAGCCTCCCAGGGCCTGGGAGAACACAGGCATGTATGTCCTCACCGCGCCCGTCAAGTGTATTTTAGGATTTAACCCCCATTTCTGGCCCTGAATGTCTAAGAAATGACAGGCTGGTATAGAAACGTGAACCTCTGAGAACTGGTTTCCCAGTAGGTCTCACCAACTAGCATATGGGTGCTGTCCGTGGTCCTGCTCGCACCTTCTCTCACCTGGACCGCCTCTCCCATTCCCGCACCAGGTGCCCGGCGGAGGTCACGCCCATTGGATTCTTTGGCCGCCCAGCTTCTTCCTACCCTCTTCCTAGCCCGTAAGCTCCGCCCTCCTACACCTATCTTCTAACAGACACGCCCAGCTCTCCGTAGGTAATTGGAAGGCCGGCTCGCCCTGCTCACTGATTGGCTGGTCCTCCAAGAAGCGCACGTTGTGCAACGCCTCCCCCTGCTTGGCCCGTAGGTTCTGCAACCAGAAGCGGATGATGCTCTGTCGCTCCTGTGGGGAGACGGGTGTGAGCTCGGCACGGAAGGCCGTGGGTGCAGAGACGCGGGCACAGGGCGGTCACCTGCGATGTAAAAAAGCGCAGCTCGCTCTCCACATTCTCGTAGATGAAGTCCTCTTCGCAGGAGAAGCTGCGGGTGCCCCCGCCAAACTCGGCCTTCACTGCCTTTCGCAGACCCAGCTCATCGGCCCCCCGGAGCAAGCTGTGGGCAGGACAGGGCATAGAAGGTTCGCATCACCAAGCTAAGGACGATTCGCGAGCCATATCTTAGGACAAACGAATAGTGGGCACAGTTGGCCCTCAGAAAGGTGACAAGGCCAGAGGGAGGTGGAGGCAGGGCACTCGCCTCTCATATGTGGCTGTGACAAAGAAGGCATAGGCACGCGTGTGGCGGTGGTGGCGAACTTGCACGATCAGCTCGGGGATGCCCACTCGGATGTGATTCAGCAGCCATAGCAGCGTGTGGTCATCGGTGGTGTCTGCCAAGGAGCACAGGGACCCACAAGTGCCTACTTTACATTTCGGCCAAAGTGGCAGACGCTGCATCAGGGCCCAGGACAGGCAGGTGTGCATACCTGGGAAGGTCATGAGCACGTCACAGTCCTCGGTGGGTACCGTCTTCATCCATGCCTTGTGGGATACCAGGTAGCGGCCAGCCTGCAGGAGCCTCTTCCCAAATAGTTTATCTAGGGGCAGCGTGGCAGGTCCGCATCCTCAGCCTGGGCTGCTCTCTTGTCTCCACATCCCCTGCACCAGTCAGGCCCTTCCCCCTAGGTCCTGCCTTAAAAATCTTACTCATGGTTGAGGCCCAGCTCCGCCTCCCAAACCGCAATCAAGCACAAGCCTTGTGCGCTTCTTGGTAAGACAGCACGGTCCTTAAAACAGCTGCTCGAACAGAGTGAAGTCCTTACCCCCATTTCACAGGTCACCAAACTGAGGCCCAGAGTGTACCCAGACGCTCAAGGTCACTTAATCGAGGTGGGATTCGAACCCAGAACTGTCCATATTACCCTGTTTCCCTGTGCTGGGAGTCTCCAGATGGCAGGGCTCACACCAGCCAGGCTGGGGCTGTCAGAGGGGCGTGTCCACGTCCCCGCAAGGGGACCCCTCAATACAATCGCTCTGCCCCAACCCCGCGCGCTGTGCCGCAACCGCAGCCCCACGAGGAGCGGCCCCTGGGCCACACGCCAGGCTCGGGATGTGTGACCCCTATCGGCGTCCCCTGCAGCCCCAGGGCTCACCCGTGCACCTGTCTCGGTGCCACCCGCAGCTCACGTACCCAGGACTCCAGACGCAGGCGCTGCAGGCTCGCCCTCCGGCGGGGGCCTCTTCCCTCGCTCCCCCTCCAGGGTCGCGCCCCCGGCGCCCGAGGCTGCCTCGGCCATGGCGAGGACAGGGCAGGTCAGGGGCTGCAGGACGCCCGGGCGCCGGGGGGCCGCAGGCTCATGGGGACCGGAGTGGCACCACCGAGCGCGCGGGAGGAGACAAAGGCCGCTCTCGCCCGCCCGCACCGCCCGCCGTCCCTGCGCTTCACTTGATTGTCGTCCCCGCCCGAGCCAAACCTCGATTCTTCTTCCCGGAGTCCCTCAGTACCGCCCGCCTGGCCTCTGCTTCCCGTCTCCGCCCGAGTTGATTTCTGAGCTTCCTTCCCACCCGACCACTTGGATCTCTGGTGCTTGTTTCCGCCCGCACTCACCCTCACAGCCTCCGTTTACCCACCCACCCACCCACCCACAGAGTTCACGTGGTGTGGAAGCTGAGCTGGCCGTGATTTGCTTACTGCAGGATGTGGGAGCAGGAGGATCTTGTTGAGTAGCATTTCTGAGAACAATAGCTCAACTACCACAACAGAAGTGTCAGTGAGATGACGTGGCAGCCGGTTCAGCCTGCCCCAGGGCCTTTGCAGTAGCGTTTACCTGCCTAAAACGTGCTTGTCAACCCTCTGCACCCACGCCAGCCTCCACAAAGGGATCAGGATACAGGGGCCGAGTTTACTAAATATGGTCCGGAGCCTGCAGAACGGCTCCCTTCATCAAGGTGCTGAGAACCTGAGTTTGTGTCCGTGATCCCGACTGTGGAGAGCCTACGCCCACAAGAGCACCCCCGGCATGGCGCGCGCCACCTCACACAGAGATAAATAGTCCGGCCGAGGGCTGAGGTATCAACCTGCAGCAGAAACTGGCCTAACCTGCACAAAACTTTGCCTTCAGTCTCCAGAGTGGCGGGCGGAGACTGCAGGGTGACGCGGTCGGTATAGCCCTGGTCTGGCTGGCACAGATCTCCCAATCCTGCACGTAGGAAGCAGAAAGATCCGTGTTTCAAAGCGATCCTCCGCTACATAGCAAGTCCATGGCCACTGTGGGCTATACTAGACCCTGCGTCCAAAAAGGGTGGACCATGCTGGAGAGATGGCCGCGCACTTGAGCTCTTCCAGAGGACCAGAGTTCGGGTCCCACACCCTGTAACTCCAGTACCAGGAGCTATGACAACCTCTTCCGGCCTCTGAATAAGCCTAACACAGAGAGTACACATTCGTAAATAAAAATAAAAAATAGAACTTAAAAAAATAACCCTACTGGATGGTGACACACTTAATCCCAGCATTCAGGAGCCAGAGGCAGGCAGCTCTCTGAGTTCAAGGCCAGCCTGCTCTACTGAGGGAGTTCCAGGATGTTACACAGAGAAATCCCGTCTTGGGAAGAAAGAAAGAAAAAAGAAAAGAAGGAAGGAAGGAAGGAAGGAAGGAAGGAAGGAAGGAAGGAAGGAAGGAAGAGAAAGGCTGCTTTTCTGAAACGTGCATGAGTGGGGGGTTGCTGGGGAGGGGGAAGCCCAACAAAGTCCAGCTTGCTGGGGAAATGCTTGCTCTTGCAGAGGTCAAGCCTCTGGCTTTAGGTGTGCTCCCTTTTTTCCGAGGCACTGCCTTTAAAAAAGAAAAATGTTTGTTTCTGGGGTTCTGACGAGTGTGTCGAGATCAGGGGACAACTTGAGAACTGATTCCCTCCCTCCACCAAGTGAGTCAGGGGGATTGAACTCATGTCATCAGGTTTAGCAGCAAGCGCCTAACTCACTGAGCTCAGGCTCCAGGCTCCGGCCTCCCAACTTCTCCCAGTCTTGAGTGGTCCACTCTGAAGGACTGTGAGCCCAGTTTGCTTCTCGGTGCCCAGGATGTAATGGGCATTTGTTGTAAACGTGTTATGAAGGAACCACGGGAGATGGACAACGTCACTGTTCCTGTTTCACAGCCTGCAAAGTAGGGCAGTTGAGGACCTGAGGGCTTTGAGACATTAGCCTGCCCGGCAGCGTGTTCTTAAAGAGCGCCCGCCCGCACGGGTCCAGAACCGGAGAATTAGCCGTGCGAGGGCGCTCCCGAGGCTCCGCCCGCCCGGTGCCAGGAATTCGAGCCTCCGCCGTCATCCCGCAATTCAGTGCTGCCCCGGGTTAACCTGAAGGTAACCCAGGGAGCCTTTCCGGGAGCCACCAGCACACGTCGGACCTGCGACCAACCGAGTCCTAGGAGAGGACAGGGAAGCCAGGGCTGGAGTAGAGCCGCCTGGAGGAGGAACCAGGCCTGGAAATGGCTCCTGGCTAAAATGCTTGCCTAGGATCTGCCGCTGGCAAAGCTTGGGAAAGGGGCAGCGGAGAGATCTAAGAAGGGCCAGGAACAAACTTCCCAAAAAGTTTGGACCAGATTTTTTCACTAATCTAGGGCGTGACTTTCCCAGGAACTCATCTCAAGCACTTATTAAGATGCTTTGAGGAGTCTGTCTGTCTCTCTCTGTCTCTCTGTCTCTCTCTCTGAGTCTCTCTCTGTGTGTCTCTGTCTCTGTCTCTGTCTCTGTCTCTCTCTGTCTCTGTCTCTCTCTGTCTCTGTCTCTCTCTGTCTCTCTGTCTCTCTCTGTCTCTCTCTCTCTCTCTCTGTCTCTCTCTCTCTCTCTCTGTCTCTCTCTCTCTCTCTCTCTCTCTCTCTCGGAGGTCTAAGAACAACTAAACGGGGTCCCGGGGCTCGAACTCGGGTTCTCAGGCCTTTGCCAGATGAGCTGCCCTCTTCTAGAAGCGAAACTGCACACGTAGCTTCTTGGCGCCTCTAAAGCTATGCACACGCACACAAGGGAAGAACGAGACGCGAGCCTTCTCCCTGTGACAGCCTGGGATTTCTTCCTCACACTGTCTCGGCTCCCAGCCGGTCTAAGAACCAAAAACTTGGGTCTCATATTTCCGGGGGACACTCTTGCGCTGCTCACACCCCCTTGGTTTCTCTTGTGTGAACCAATAGAAACCACGGTCAATGGTAGTGGAGAGTCGCTGGGCGCACTGCCAGTCACGCCGCGAAGGGGCGGGACTTCCTCCCGGAACTTGAAGCGGTGCAGGGAGGTCGGGCAAGGAGCTGGCTGGTTGGAAATTCATGTGGCGCGGGCTGAGTGCCCTGGCGACGCGGGCGGCGCGGGCGCCCCGCAGGTGGGTGGGACAGACCCGCTGTCACGGCGGGGGCGCTGCTCTAGGCCCCGGGGCATCCCCGGGCGACGTTCCCTCGGTCCTTCACTCCGAGGCTCGGCGTCCGGGGTGCGCTTACTCGTCTACTTCCCGGCCCCCAGACTGTGCGCACGCCGGAACAGCGGCGCCGGGTCCTGGACCCCCGAGAGCACCATCTTCGCGCTCAGCTCCGGCCAGGGCCGCTGCGCCATTGCTGTGATCCGCACCAGTGGCCCGGCCAGCGGGATCGCGCTCCGCAGCCTCACGGCGTCCCGGGAGCCACCTCCGGCCCGCAGCGCCCGCCTGCACCTTCTCCGCCACCCGCTCTCCGGGGAGCCGCTGGACCGCGCGCTCGTCCTCTGGTTTCCAGGTGAGGGGCTCGATCCAGAATCCCACAGCGCTAGTGGGCCAGCCTCAGTCCCCTCCGGGAGTCAGCCCAGGCCGTGCCCATCGTCTGACTCTGCTCTTTGCCGTACAAGGCCCCCGGAGTTTCACGGGTGAGGATTGCGTGGAGTTTCACGTGCACGGAGGTCCCGCGGTGGTCAGCGGCGTCCTGCAGGCGTTGGGTGAGGCTCTGTTTCGTGACACTGTTCCCGGGGAGACTGAAAGATCTCTGGTGTCGGCTGCAAGATAGAGAATGTCATTTGTGGGAAGAGGTTTATCATTAACGTGGTCCTTCTAGATTGCTGACTCAGCCAGATAAGGTGATGGTTGCCAAGCCCGAGCTGAGTTCCAATCCCGCAATCTCTGTGGTGAAACTGATTTATGCAAGCTGTCTTCTGACTGGACGGACAGACGGACAGACACACACACAATTAATGCCATAGACAGACTGCAGTATAGGGAGGCCTGTGAGGACAGCTGACTCGGGAGCAGGGTGTGTTTGGTGGCAGTTGTTCTGAGGAGGGGCTAGATCCTATGCAGGGAGCTGACTGAGTGGCCCACAGTACCAGCTTACAGCCAGCCTGCCTGTGATTGCTGGGTGGTGGAGGCAGGGAGGGTCTTGCCTTTCCAGGAACTGTGTGTCCGACAAACCGGTTTGCCACAGGAGACCTCTAATGGTTTCTAGTCTGTCTGTGTAGGCCTATGTGGAAAGGGCAGCTGCAGGTGACCTGAGCAGCAGCTGGCCTGGGTTCTGACAGACATCTCCTAACTAACCCCCAGGCATGGTACCTGGGTCATACCCATCCGAATCCAGCTCTGGGAACCAGCCAGCTTCCTGACTGTCCATACAGTGGGGGCGGGCGCGCGAACCTGGAAACCGTGTGGAACCTGCCTTTGGGATCAGGAGCCTGGACCTTGTGATGCTTTCAGGTAGTGTGCCAGGACTGCGACCAGCTGAGGCTGGGGAGTTCACCAGAAGGGCATTCGCCCACGGAAAGCTGAGCCTGACTGAAGTGGAGGGACTGGCCGATCTGATCCACGCAGAAACTGAGGCCCAGCGGCGCCAGGCCCTGAGGCAGCTGGATGGGGAGCTGGGCCAACTGTGCCGAGGCTGGGCCAAGACCCTCACCAAGGCAAGACCTGCTTGCTCACCTGTCCATCCCGTCCTTAGAGAAAGCTCTAGACCTGTGAAATGCCAGTCTGGTCACTTAGGTCAAGCTGGAGCTGGGTTTAGAGCGAGGACCGTGGGTTCCCAGGAGCACCCATGACGTCTTCGCCTTCCTCCCAGGCTCTGGCCCATGTAGAAGCCTATATTGACTTCGGAGAGGATGGCAGTTTGGAAGAGGATGTGTTGGAACAGGGTATGTCTGCCTTTGAGAGGGTGGAGCTGGCGTCTCAGCACCCCAGAGATGCTCCTGATCGCCTCTCCTCAGCCTAACTTCTCCCTCTCTCAGTGGACAGAGACGTTCAAACCCTGGAGGCTGCACTGGGTTCCCACCTGCGAGATGCCAGGCGTGGTCAGAGGCTCCGCTCGGGGGCACACGTTGTGGTCACTGGACCCCCCAATGCGGGCAAGAGTAGTCTGGTGAATCTTCTCAGTATGTGGGGTTCTCCTGGGCAGGGCTGTAGTGGGAAGGTGGGCCTCTTACCTTCACCCTACTGCCCTTCATCACACGCTGTCTACCTTCAGGCCAGAAACCCGTGTCCATCGTGTCCCCAGAGCCAGGGACCACCCGAGATGTGCTGGAGACGCCTGTGGACCTGGCTGGCTTCCCTGTGCTGCTGAGTGATACTGCTGGGCTGCGGGAAGGCGTGGGCGCGGCTGAGCAGGAGGGCGTGCGAAGGGCTCGCCAGCGGTGGGTGCAGGGCTGGGGACAAAGCCACCTGTGGTCTTTTCCTCCCCTCTAGTCTATTTCATTATTCCTGAAACAAAAGATTTTGAGTTCTCCCAAAGCCAGGGGTACAGAGAGCCTCGTAGTTTGACTGAGATGCAAGCTTGGCTGGCTTCCCTTCCGCTCCCCCTCTCTGCCCCACCCTGTCTCCTGCATCATTCAAACCCTTCTCCACCAGAGGCTCTGACCTCCAGTTCCTCTGATGTGCCCCGCCCATGCTCCCTAACAGACCTGGCCAAGCCCTTGCCTCCACCCTGCAGTGCCTGTCCCTCCCTCAGGTGCACCCCTCCTCTGCTTGTCACCCACAGGGCCATCCTAGGTTTCTGTGACTGTGCCCCACAACGTGGCTTCCTTCCTTCCCAGATTGGAGCAGGCTGACATCATCCTGGGGGTCCTGGATGCCTCCGACCTGGCCTCCCCCTCCTGCTGCAGCTTCCTGGACACTGTGGTGGCCCCACTGGCAGCGCAGAGCCCCAGCAGCGGCAGACAGCGCTTCCTGCTGCTGCTCAACAAATCTGACCTGCTTCCCACTAGTCCCCCGGCCAGCGACACTGCCTTATTAGGGATGCCGCACCTGCTGCTGTCCTGCCTCACCGGAGCTGGGCTGGGCGGCCTCCTGCAGGCCCTAAAGACCGAGCTGGCTGCCGTGTGAGTCTCCCTTGGCCCCCTTCCGCTCTCCAACTCAAGTTCAGATGCAGGCAGAGCTGCCGGCTTTGGGTTCAGGCCTGTCCCTCAGCCTCAGTATCTCTCTCTGCAAAAGGAGTACAGTGGGGGGCCCTGTTCAAAAGGTGGCTGCACAGGCCAAGTGAAATGCCAAGTCTTGTTTCTGGCAGGTGTGGGGACCCATCCACGGGACCACCGCTCCTGACCCGAGCTAGGCACCAGCATCACCTCCAGAGCTGCCTGGATGCCCTGGGCCACTACCAGGCAACCACAGACCTGGCCCTGGCAGCCGAGGCCCTGCGTCGGGCTCGGAGGCACCTGAGCTACCTCACAGGAGGAGGAGGCACTGAAGAGGTCCTGGACCTCATCTTCCGGGACTTCTGTGTGGGCAAGTAAGGGTCAGAGCTGGATGGGACCTAGGGCCTCAGTTCCCACTGATGGCAGCAGAGAGCAGGCGAGCACTTGGGGTCCCCGGCCCTCAAGCCTGTTCCCTCCACAGTGAGCAGGAGACAGGCCAGGAGTCCCAGGATGGGTACCCCTCGTCTGCTGAGATTAAGGCCTTCTCACCATGCCAAGTTTACATAGTGCTAGAGATGAAATTCTTGCCATGCCCCAGCTCCTCACAGGGGCTCCAACCCTGAACCACGCCCCCAGCTTCCCACTGGGAGACTCTAGACAGGGGCTCCACCCTGAGCCACGCCCCTGGCTTCATAGTTTTTAAATACCACAGGAGCATGAAGAGTTTGGGTGGTCCAGAAATGTCAGTTCAAGAGGACCAGTCAGCCTTACCTTCGAGAAGTTTGCCTCTGTGTTCTCTCTATGACGTGTCATATGTCAATCTCTCATATGTCAATCAAATATATTTATTTATTATTGCCTCTGGTCAATGCAAAAAGCGACTAATTGGAACCCATTGCTGCAGTCAGACCTGGCTCTACTGAGCATTCTGTTTCTTTTCTGTTTCTTTTTTTTTGTTTTGTTTTGTTTTGTTTTGTTTTTTTTGTTTTGTTTTGTTTTTTCGAGACAGGGTTTCTCTGTGGCTTTGGAGCCTGTCCTGGAACTAGCTCTGTAGACCAGGCTGGCATTCTGTTTCTTAAAGTTCGTTTATGGGCACAGCACAGACAGGGAGGTCAGAGGGGAGCTTTCAGGACTCCTCTGCAGTGGTGACGTGGATCTCAGGCTTGGCAGCACATTGTTCCGTTCATATACATGCATATAATTTATTTAGCTTTATTGTCTGTGAAGATATCAGATCCCAGGAAACTGGAGTTAGAGACGGTTGTGAGCTGATAGGCTGATGTTGGGAATTAAATCTGAGTCCTGTGGGAGAACAACCCGTGCTTTTTTTTCACTCTAGCTGAACAGGAAAAGAACCAGCATAGGACCAAACTAGACCCTCTGGATGTGGGTGACAGTTGTGTGGCCACTGGCAGAGGCTCCAGGATTTATCCCTACTGCTTGCATTTGTGAACCCATTCTCTTTGGATGGGTACCTAACTCAGCCTAGATATAGTAGGAAGGGCCGTGGACCTTCCCCAAAGCAATGGGCTGATGTGGGAGCCCCTTTGTGTGCTGTGATTACCATTAATGGATAAAGAAATTGCCTCGGCCTGTTGATAGGGCAGAACTTAGGTAGGCGGAGAAAACTAAACTGAATGCTGGGAGGAAGAAGGCAGAGTTGGAGATAGAAGTCATGGAGCCGCCGCTGGAGATAGACATGCTGAAACATTGCTGGTAGGCCACAACCGCGTGGTAATACACAGATTAATAGAAATGGGTTTAACTAATATGTAAGAGTTAGCCAATAAGAAGCTAGAGCTAATGGGCCAAGCAGTGATTTAACTGATACAGTTTCTATGTGATTATTTCGGAGCTAAGATAGCCAATGGCTGGGAAGAACAAGCTGCTTCCTCCTTACTGTTGGGTCCAGGGGGGTCGCACAAAGATGAGAACACCGCCAAGTCTAATAAACCAGAAGCAAACTCTATTCCAGAAACCAGATCCTAGGAAAACCAGAAGCAAACTTAAAAATAAAAAATAAGAAAACACCGCGGGGCACAGAAGCTTATCAGCTAGCTGAGACCACAGCCAGAGATGGCGTTTGTTAGGCTGTGGCCAAAAGCTAGTTTCTGAACCCACTTTTTATAGTAGGGGCACCAAGCATTAGGTCTGAACGAAGGAGTTTTTACGATCTTTCCCAGGTCAGTCAGCATAGACCCTAAGGAGAGGAGTGAGTTCTAACGTCAATGGGTAACTAGGCAGCTATCATGAAATAGGTTTCAGAGGAGATTACAGTGAAAGTCACTAATTGCAAGAAAACGGGTGTCTTTAGCAATTAGTCAGAAAAGGGGCTGCTAGTAATACCAGAAGGTTAACAAATTAAAATTAATTGGTTCTTAGGCTGGGAACTTAGAAGACAGCTGAAAGTTCTTCACACTTTCTCAAGGTAAAGCTCAGATACAGACTGCCATACTTTTCAACCCCCATTATCAGAGCTCATTAGTCAAACCAGGTGTTTGCACCGTGTCCTCTGTCTCTCCCGGTTCCTCCAGGCAGTGCATACTGGAGCCCTCTGCCTCCCTTTTGATGGTCCAGTTTCCCATAACAGAGACAGTGTCTAACCCAGATGTCACGTATCTGTCTCCTAGAAGTTAACTCAGTTCATATCTGTCGTTCATCAAGGATGGCCAGGACGTTACTCTCAGTTTGCAGAGAGAAGCTCCGGCCTTGTAAATAGAACAGTCAGTTGTAAAATGAAATGACCTAGGCTGATGGAGGCTTCCCAAATATCCGAGAAAATAGCTCACTGTGAATAATTGATCCCTGATCTGCTGAGAAAGCTGCTGACAGTCTGTTCTCATTCTCCTAGACTTATAGCTTTATATTTCTTTATTTCTACATTCCTATTTCTGGAATCTACATTTTTATTTTCTTATTCTTGGACTCTTCATTTACTACAATGGGCCTTACCCTCTCTGAGGATTGGATTGGGGGATGGGGGATAAGTGGAGGGAATAGGAGGAGGGGAGGGAATGGGAACTAGGATTGGTATGTAAAATGAAAAGTTTGTTTTCTTTTTTTTAAAAAAAATAAAAACCAGGTGGTGGTAGCGCACGTCTTTAATCCCAGCATTTGGGAGGCGAAGGCAGGTGAATCTCTGTGAATTCAAGGCCAGCCTGGTCTAAAAGAGCTGGTTCCAGGACAGGCTCCAAAGCTACAGAGAAACCCTGTCTCAAAAACTTAATTAAAAGCCGGGCGATGGTGGCACACGCCTTTAATCCCAGCACTTGGGAGGCAGAGGCAGGCGGATCTCTGTGAGTTCGAGACCAGCCTGGTCTACAGAGCTAGTTCCAGGACAGGCTCCAAAGCCACAGAGGAACCCTGTCTCGAAAAACCAAAAAATAAATAAATAAATAAATAAATAAATAAATAAAGCTAATTTTAAGATAAATAAATAAAACTTTGAATAATGTAAGAGCTAGCTAGGAATATGCCTAGGCCATTGGCCAAACAATTTTAACTTAAAAAAGATTTTATTTATCTATTATGTATGCAGCGTTTTGCCTGCAAGTCTACCTGCGTGCCAGAGAGGGCACCAGATCTCATTATGAATGGTTGTGAGCCACCTTACGGTTGCTGGGAGTTAAACTCAGGACCCCTGGAAGAGCAGCCAGTGCTGCTCTTAACCGCTAAGCCATCTCTCTGGCCCATGGGCTGATAGCAAGTTTTAATTGTGTGTGTGGTGTGAGGGGATGTGTGGGTTTGTGACCTGGAGACACAGGAGCTTGGGAGACCATGGTTGCTGGGAACCGATCTCCAGTCCTCTTGAGCCGGGCGATGGTGGCACATGTCTTTAATCCCAGCACTGGGGAGGCAGAGGCAGGTGGATCTCTGCAAGTTCAAAGCCAGCCTGGTCTACAGAGTGAGTTCCAGGACTGGCTTCATAGCTATCAAGAAACCCTGTCTTGGAAAACAAAATCCTTGGGCTGGGGAGATGGCTCAATGGTTAAGATCACTAACTGTTCTTCCAGAGGACCCTGGTTCAGTTCTTAGCAACTACATGTCAGGTCACAACGGTCTGTAACTTCGGTTCTAGGGGACCCAATACCCCCACTCAGACATGCATGCAGGTAAAATACCAATGCATATAAAATAAATAAATTATTTGACAAGCAGTGGTGCACACCTTTAATCCCAGCACTCGGGAGGCAGAGGCAGGCGGATCTCTGTGAGTTCGAGGCCAGCCTGGTCTACAGAGCTAGTTCCAGGACAGGAACCAAAAAGCTACGGAGAAACACTGTCTTGAAAATCCAAATAAATAAATAAGTAAAACCCTGTTTCGAAAAACCAAAAAATCAAGTCCTCTTCAGCCGCAAATGTTTTACTGCAGAGCCATCTCACCAGTCCCTCCTCAAGTATTTTTTGTTTGTTTGGTTTGTTTTTTTGAGACAGGGTTTCTCTGTAGTTTTTGGAACAGGTCCTGGAACTTGCCCTGTAGACCAGGACTAAGATTAAAGGCATGTGCCGCCACCACCCCGCAATTTGTGTTTATTTTTACTTTTTTAAGAAAATACTTTGTTTTTATTTTATGTGCATTGGACTGCATGTCTGTCTGTGAGGATGTCAGGTCTTAACCACTGAGCTATCTCTCCAGCCCCTAATTTTAGTTTCTGAGGTTGAGTCTTTGAAGATGGCGGTGGCCTCAGTCACCAGGATCCTCACCAGTGCACCACCGACCGGGCACAAATGTTCCCAATTTACCGTTCAGAAAACGGAGGCTCAGGGAAATGGTTCGAGCAGTCAATTACACCCCACGTTGAACTTTGTCAGGGCCTCTGTAACAGGCAACATTGTAGGGCACTGGGGTCAGCACTTGGGTTTCGAGGCATGGTTACAAGGAGGAAGTCTTTGTCCTGGACTTGGGGCAGACCTTAAAGAGGAGGCATCTGTGCTGTATCTGCTGAGGCCGCCAGGGGGCGTCAAGGAGGCTGGGTCGCCTGGTGTAGCGGTAATCGGCCAGCAGAGGGCGAGCGTCCCTCGCGTAACTCCCAGCCGCGTCCTCATCAATGAGGACGCCTGTCATTCCAGCGCTCGTCCCAGGCTTGGCTGGGTTACTTAGCCAGATCCTGCCTTGAACGGGGTAAGGGTCCCCTGGCGCCTCGCCCTGGGTGGGGCCAGACCTCTGGGCAGCTCGCCCACTGCGGGCCGCCTGCCTCGGGGCTGGCACACAGCTGCGTGGAGGCCTTGGCCGCTGTCCCTTTTTTCCAAGAAGGGTGAGGAGTTTGTGGGAAGCAGCGGGGGGTTATTTATAGAGGACGCAGGAAATCCCCAAAGAGTCAGGGCCTCACCCAGCGGAGGCGGTTATGACCGGGCACTGGGCCCCTTTCCGACAGGGAGCACTGCAAGGGGCCTGGGAGCCAGGATGAGACTGGGGCCCCAAGGGACAAGGATCATACCTTGGTAATCCCTTGTAGGAGGGGTCAGACAAAGTTGAGCCAAGCCCCTGCCCCTTGTTCGTTGGTGTGTGTGGCGCAGTTCAAACTTGTGGGCGTGCAGATCCAAGGGGACATATAAGCCAGACGAGGGCACAGGGGGCGACCCTACAGGTCAGGTCTCAAGTGCTCAGCATCCTCCCGTCTCTCCCCACAGCACTGGGTTTAAGGTAAATCATCACCTTAGCCTTTATGTGGGTTCTGTAACTGAGTCTTAGTTCCTCCAGCTTGAGCAACAAGTACTCTCACCCATGGAGACATCGCCCTCCCATGCACAGTTTGACAATTCATTTTGCAACTCCTTGTCTTGAACAGAGATGTTTCTAGCAAGGAAAAACAATGCCGGGCATGTTAATGCACCTGCAGCGCCAACATTGT